CACAACTGGAACCTGTTCTGGTAGATACCATCCCATCCATCAACCGTGCGATCTCGGTATGTATCCCAAAAAGCAAAAAGAGGCGGTAATGGAAAATTAGGCATATTCAGACGAATGAAGTGTTCGTAAGAACCAAGATGACCCATGACAATCTCCCGTTCAGGTCGTGTAGCCGTGGATGGTGCCCGGAGCGGCAATACTGTCACACTGTTGAAGTTCATATTGTTGTCGTTCGGACCCAAGCCTAACAACACGACAACAGCATTAAACAGTGTAGCAATAGGAAAGAGGTCGCCTACAACTTCCATCCAGTGCTCTCTGTCACAAGAGCCCCCGTCCCATCTTATCCGTCTTAGTGCGACGTCGATCCCACCATTAAAATAGAAAGGTGCGTACCAGTGGCTGTAGCTGGAAACCTCATTTGCAATGTTGGTTCTTGCCAGATGCCACCTCTCCTGATCCCTATACACGTAACTCGCGACAACCCGAAATCCGCAATTCCCATCCAGCTTAACATCCAGATAGCTCTCTATGTAGTTGTGAACTACGTAAGGAATTCTGTGACGAAAATAGAAATGCAAGAAATCTGTCTGGAAAAAAAAGGCACCTGTCTGATCTTCTGTAGGTTGAGAAGACGAGCTTGTCGGGGCGGTCGAAGAAGTGCTTTTACGCCCCACCGGATGTCCTCTTTCTCGGTAGTCCCATATCGATGGATTACATGAAGAAGTACTTTTACGCCCCACCCGGCGACCTGTTTCCGTGTACTCTGATTTCGATGGAGCACACGAAGAAGTGCTTTTACGCCCTCTTTGACTGTACTCCCATTTCGATAGATCGCGCTTTGTAGAATTTTTCTTCTTGGGCCGACCTCTCGGATTTTCCTTCACTGCAGGTTCTATATAACCTTGTTGGTCAGGGTGAAGTTGAGAGTGGATGAACTGGTTCAAGTAGCGCACCGTCGCAGGATCGGCCATTTCAACCTCTTCAGCAAGGCTCCGAAAAAAATCATGATCTGTCCATCCACTCGCCAATCCACTCTGCTTACCTGTCCGTACAAAAAAATTTGAAAAGTTAAACCACATACTTTGTCTATAAATTCCATAAATCAAACAATATGTGAAGTAGATTATATTATGTATAATATATAATTTTTTTTATTATTAAATAAATACAATTCATTATATAATATATAATTATATATTCATTATTAAATATATTTTACTTCATTATAACATTCAAATATATTTCATTCTAATTAATAATAAAATATATTAATATATATTAACATAGTTAAATATTAATATATATTAATTATTAATTTTATAATTAATATATATAAATATATATTTAAACATTTTTCATAAAAAAAAAAAACAAATCTCACAATTATACCTGACCCTAACACCTCTAGTGTGGTCCAGAACCTGTGGACCATTTGGGGCATAATCGGCACTCCCATCACGTGTGCTGCTCTTAGGTCACAGGAACAAGGAAGTCCATGAGTGGATCTCAGTGCACATCCACAGCGCCGCGAAGTGTCTACGCTCAACTCTTGCATCTTCTGATGCTCATCATTCAATAATTCTATACAGTAATGCGAGACCCGCAGTCTCAAGTGCTCGAAAGGGAATTTTTTGTAACCCGTATGCATCCTAAGTCTGCAAGACTCCAGCGTCTCTCTGACAATACATTACATGACATTAGACCCAATTAAACTTATAATTAATGCAATAATAACACAATAAAATATGTATAACTTAAGGAAAATACCTGATTTTAGTATGTTGAAAATCTATCTCCTTATGAATCTTCTCCCATACCGTGTCGAGGGAACCGGTCGACGTGTTAAGCCACTGCTTCAACGTAGCGTGGGCACTCTCCACCCTACACGTCGTTATGTTACCAAAATGTAAAACAGTGTCCGTCCACACTTTGACAAACTTCTCCTTGTGGACTAACCACGTCTGCTCCACATATTGTAACACCTTAGTAAAAGGCGCGTACCGACCATACATCTCACAAACAGCAGTGTTGTATTCATCCAACGTGCTCACTTCGATGACGTTCTTCCACCTGCCGTGCATGAAGTTCTGAGCGAAATCCCTATTTTTCTTTGCTAGTTTATAGACCTTATCTTCCACATCCTTGTTGATGTGCCACGTGCAAAGTAAGTGGGACGACTGTGGGAAATTTCTTCGAATAGGAGTAATCAAGCCCAACTCCCTGTCAGTGACAATGGCCGAAGGATGTAAATCAGGCCCTATTAAACGTCTCAATCGCTGCAAAACCCAGTCATAGCTATACTTGGTCTCGTCCTTGATAATTGCATAGGCAATTAAAAAGTTCTTGTTGCACGACGTCATTCCAATCATTTCCACCAACGGCATCTTGTACCTGTGCAAATGAAAGCAACATAAAATAAAAAAACTTACTCAAACATACTAATTAAGATTCACGCTAAATTGTTATTTATAAAGTAACATAGCATACCTGTTGGTTTTGTATGTCGAATCTATACCGACATAATAGTAATATGTACGGAATAGATTGGCTGATTGAGGATGCGACATGAACACATGTGTCAACGCCTGTGTGACGTCATCAGTCTCAGCGTAAACTATATAATTGCTATTTCTAGCCAAGTGAGTAAGCTGGCCAATCACATCTCTACCTTGCAAACTATCTCTGCGCATTTTATTTGTATAGTTATACACTTGTCGCATGGTAGTGTTGTCTGCAGAGTTTTTATCCTGAATCGCAGCCAAAATTGCTGTCGGTTTTGCCTGAGCACCACTCATATCACGGACAATCTCTTTAGATGAATCACTAAGTCCGCTCATCTGTCGATGACCCTCGGGATACACAATCATCGCATGATTATGCGTTCCCTTATTATCATCATCATAAGGAACCCAAATATACCATTTTTTAGATTGTGCGTCCAATTTGACTTTTATCATAAAAGGGCAACCGGTCGCTTTAGTTTTCGAACGTCTCAAAACAACATTAACAAATTTCGTAACATTACCTCTGTAACGTTCCCCTCGATTACACCTCAACCACCGATGCTTTCCTTCTTTATCGTGTTTCGAGATTACTAATTCAAAACCATTCTCAATTGCCAATTTTTTGCCCACTTAATAGCTTCTTCACAACTATCAAATAGCTCATCTGTAACGAAAGCAGGTCTGTAATCTCGACCGTCTCCTCCAAAATCTTCGAACGGCGCCTGTAATATATTACGATGTATGTTAGTTATTTTACAAGATAATCAATGATAACTTCTAACATAACAATAGTAAATTGTACTCTAAATTTATTATACGGCTAAAATGCATTTTTGGTCCTGAGTTTTTGATAGACGAGCAATTTTAGTCCTGCAGTATAGGTATGTGGCACATTTAGTACTACAATTAAAAATTTTGGGGCAATTTTAGTCCTGCTGGCGTCAATTTTGGGGTTTTTTGGCCGGAAATTGCACGTGCCTGCCACGTGACTCATTTTCACCCGTCTAATGCCGACGTGGCCCAAGCCCCTGCGTGACGTGGATAAAAAACAAAAAAAAAAAAAAAGAAAAATGAGATGGCAATTGAAGGCGCCACGTCAGACCAAATTGGAGGGAAATGGACGGGAAATTGATCGATTAAACTGAGAAAGCATACCGTCATTTAGACGATAGAACAAATTTGTCCTTCTAATTCCATCCCAAATTTATGCAAAATCCAAAATTGTAGATGTTCCTGCGATTAATCTATGGAGACAAGAATCAAAATCAGATCGAAAAGTTACTGGGATTCACCCAATCCAAGCTACGGTATGTTATTCGAATTTTTTGAAAACCCTAGTCTGTTTTTCTTGTTCGATTTTAGGGTTGTTTATTTCCAAATTAGTTGACCCCATGTGCTATTATGTCTCTTTTTCTATTTTGAAAACGATGCCCCACCTCTGTTTGTTAAAATTTTAGGGTTCTAATTTTTGTTTTCTTCCTATATGCATAGATCGAAGTAGTGACCTATTCACTGTCATTTTGTGGTGTGGTGGTAAATTCCAGAAGTCCGACTTTGGAGTATATGAAGGTGGCCATAAAATGGTGTTTGATTTTGTATCTGCTAATGAAATGTCTGAAAAGAAACTAAAAATGTTTTCCACAAAATTTGGTGTGGTTGGTGATAGGAGCTATTTCATACAGGTGGGTTTGAGTCTGAGGAGGCTAGAAGGGGATGATGATGTTAGGATTTGGGCAAAGTCCCACTTATCTGAAAGGGAGTTTAATGTATTTGTGGAAGTTTTCAACACTTTTGAACCTTCTAATTTGTCTGTTGAAGGTAGTTGGGTGGATCTAGATGAGAGTGACAGTGATAATGAGAGTGGGAGTAAGAGTGGGTCTGAGAGTGGGGGTGATAGTGGGTCTGAGAGTGGGTCTGAGAGTGAGAGTGAGGATAATGTTGTTGGTGTAGAGGGTGTTACTCAAGAGGATAATATTGTTGGGGTTGGTAGTGGGATTAGGAGTCAGAATGATGTAAGTGAAACTAATCTTGATGTCGAGGATAATCTTGTTGGGGTTAACAGAGGAAAAGGTGTTCATTTGAGTGATGCTGAGAATTCTGAGGGTAATGAGGATAGTGGACATTCTACTGATTGGTATGATGAATTCTTTGATAGTGATTATGACATGAGGGATGCTAGTAGTGATGATGATGATGCATTATTCTTTGAGCATGTAGATACAGGTGCCAATGGAGAGGATGAGTCAGAGTCTAGTGATAGTGATAATGAAGATGTGGTTGCTAATCCTGATGTGTTAGATGACTTAGTTGATAGTGAATATGAGGCAGAGGTAGAGACTCCTGTCTTCAATCCTGAACTTATATTTGATCCTGTGTTTGAGTTGGGAATGGTTTTTGCAACTAAACAGAAGTTTAGAAAGGCCATTCAATCACTTTCAATTAAAACAAAAAGGACCCTAAAGACAATTAAAAATGATAAGATTAGGGTCTATGTTAGATGTGATGATGGAGGCTGTAAGTGGAGATGTAATCTTTTACAAATGAAGGGACAATCTAGTTACCAAATTAGAGAGTATAATCCCAATCATACATGTCATGGGAGCTTCAATGTGAAGAACATTAAGTCTAAGTGGCTGAGTGAGAGGTACATTAGCAATTTTCAAACTGACCCAAAGAGAAGTGTGAAGGGCTGGAGGCTTGATGTAATTCATGAACTGAATGTGAATGTCTCCAAAGATCAGGCTTATAGAGCCAAGAGAAGGGCCATGAATGTTCTTCAGGGACATCCTGATGTTCAATACTCACAGCTATGGGATTATGCAGAGGAGCTAAAATCTTCCAATCCTGGTTCAACAGTGTTATTAGCAACTGAAAAAGTGAGTGGTGATGAGAGATTTAGTAAGTTTTATGTTTGTTTTAGTGCTTTGAAAGAGGGTTATAAAGCTGGTTGTAGACCACTGATAGGTGTAGATGGGTGTCATTTGAAGGGGCCACATGGTGGGATTTTGTTAACTGCAGTTGCAGTAGACCCTAACAACAATTTATTCCCTATTGCATTTGCTGTGGTTGGAGTGGAATGCAGAGAGAGTTGGGAGTGGTTTTTAACCATTTTGAAGAAGGATTTGGATATCTCTAAGCCAGAAATGCAGACATTCATATCTGATAAACAAAAAGGGCTTATACAGGCCTTTGACATTGTCTTTCCTGGGGCAGCACATAGATTCTGTGTTAGGCATTTGCACAATAATTTCCTTAATGCTGGGTTCAGAGGATTGGCTTATAAGACTGCTGTGTGGAAGGCAGCCCAGGCCACAACTGTGGGAGATTTTACTGCAAGAATGTTAGAAATTAAAGGCATGAGTGTTGAGGCATTCAACTGGTTTATGAATAAACCACCACAACAATGGTGTAGGGCATTCTTTTCTGATTTGCCAAAGTGTGATTTGTTGCTTAACAATATATGTGAGACCTTCAACAGCAACATCATTGAGGCCAGGGATAAGCCAATAACTTACAGCCTCCATCATCACATCTAACATAGACCCTAATCTTATCATTTTTAATTGTCTTTAGGGTCCTTTTTGTTTTAATTGAAAGTGATTGAATGGCCTTTCTAAACTTCTGTTTAGTTGCAAAAACCATTCCCAACTCAAACACAGGATCAAATATAAGTTCAGGATTGAAGACAGGAGTCTCTACCTCTGCCTCATATTCACTATCAACTAAGTCATCTAACACATCAGGATTAGCAACCACATCTTCATTATCACTATCACTAGACTCTGACTCATCCTCTCCATTGGCACCTGTATCTACATGCTCAAAGAATAATGCATCATCATCATCACTACTAGCATCCCTCATGTCATAATCACTATCAAAGAATTCATCATACCAATCAGTAGAATGTCCACTATCCTCATTACCCTCAGAATTCTCAGCATCACTCAAATGAACACCTTTTCCTCTGTTAACCCCAACAAGATTATCCTCGACATCAAGATTAGTTTCACTTACATCATTCTGACTCCTAATCCCACTACCAACCCCAACAATATTATCCTCTTGAGTAACACCCTCTACACCAACAACATTATCCTCACTCTCACTCTCAGACCCACTCTCAGACCCACTATCACCCCCACTCTCAGACCCACTCTTACTCCCACTCTCATTATCACTGTCACTCTCATCTAGATCCACCCAACTACCTTCAACAGACAAACTAGAAGGTTCAAAAGTGTTGAAAACTTCCACAAATACATTAAACTCCCTTTCAGATAAGTGGGACTTTGCCCAAATCCTAACATCATCATCCCCTTCTAGCCTCCTCAGACTCAAACCCACCTGTATGAAATAGCTCCTATCACCAACCACACCAAATTTTGTGGAAAACAATTTTAGTTTCTTTTCAGACATTTCATTAGCAGGTACAAAATCAAACACCATTTTATGGCCACCTTCATATACTCCAAAGTCGGACTTCTGGAATTTACCACCACACCACAAAATGACAGTGAATAGGTCACTACTTCGATCTATGCATATAGGAAGAAAACAAAAATTAGAACCCTAAAATTTTAACAAACAGAGGTGGGGCATCGTTTTCAAAATAGAAAAAGAGACATAATAGCACATGGGGTCAACTAATTTGGAAATAAACAACCCTAAAATCGGACAAGAAAAACAGACTAGGGTTTTCAAAAAATTCGAATAACATACCGTAGCTTGGATTGGGTGAATCCCAGTAACTTTTCGATCTGATTTTGATTCTTGTCTCCATAGATTAATCGCAGGAACATCTACAATTTTGGATTTTGCATAAATTTGGGATGGAATTAGAAGGACAGATTTGTTCTATCGTCTAAATGACGGTATGCTTTCTCAGTTTAATCGATCAATTTCCCGTCCATTTCCCTCCAATTTGGTCTGACGTGGCGCCTTCAATTGCCATCTCATTTTTCTTTTTTTTTTTTTTTGTTTTTTATCCACGTCGCGCAGGGGCTTGGGCCACGTCGGCATTAGACGGGTGAAAATGAGTCACGTGGCAGGCACGTGCAATTTCCGGCCAAAAAACCCCAAAATTGACGCCAGCAGGACTAAAATTGCCCCAAAATTTTTAATTGTAGTACTAAATGTGCCACATACCTATACTGCAGGACTAAAATTGCTCGTCTATCAAAAACTCAGGACAAAAAATGCATTTTAGCCTTTATTATACAGTCAATTATAACTTGTAATATAATAGTAATCTATAACAGAAAAATTGTAATATAACACAATCAATTCTAATCTATAATACAATAATTTCTACTTCATAATTATATTTTGTAATATAATTTATATAAAACAACAATATATACTAATATATTTTTTTCTATTACAATTATTTAAATTTTATACTATTATAAATATACTAATATAATATTGTATATTATAATTATTTAAATATTATACTATTATATAATTATTTAAACTTTAAACTAATTTTATATTATTTAAATTTTATATAATTATTAAAATTTTTACAATTATAATTTTTATATAATTAATAATTAATTGTATTTTATAATATATTTTAAATTTTATATAATTTTTTAAATTTCTTACTATTATAATTTTTTTTTTAAAAAGAAAAGGGCTGGCCGACCCCTTTTGGAGGCCAACACAGGCCCGACTTCAAAAGTCGTTGAGGCTGGACGAGGCCCGGCCTCAAAAGTCGTTGAGGCTGGACGAGGCCCGGCCTCAAAAGTCGTTAGGCTGTACGAAGTCCCGCCTCAAAAGTCGTTAGGCTGGACGAGACCCGACCTCAAAAGTTGTTAGGCTGGACGAGGGCTGGCCTAAAAAATGTTGAGGCTGGACGAGGGCTGGCCTCCATCACCGGCCGGTCAGCTGTAGAGCGGCCGGTTTCGCCGGCCGGCCACCGCAAAAGAATAAAAGAAAAAATAAAAAAAAAAAACTTACATTTACGGACGACATTCTTTCTCCGGAATTTGTCGTAATTCGCCGGAATTGGCCGCCGGAATTCAAACGAGGGAGAGAGGAATTACAAAGAGAGAGATAAATTGAAAATGGAGAGAGGGAAATATTTTGGAAAAATGAGTTCAAATTTTTTTTTAATAAGAAAAGGGTATAAATGTATTTTTGAGGGCGGTGAATAGCAACACCCATAATAAAAGTTTGACATATAGAAGTAGTTGAAAGATTGAGTGACACCAACCACAAAGGATTGACATTTATTTTGAGATTGGGTAACATTGAAATTGAAAGAAGCTCCTTCCTCTTTCTGTCAGATCCATGCCGCCATGATCCGCCGCCTGAACACTACTCTCGCCCTCTCTTTCCTTTTTCTCCTTATTTCCTTACTTTTATACCATTTTCTCTTCCCCCACCAACCACTCCCTCCCAACAAACACATAATCCGATTTTCCCAATACAAGAAAGCCCAGTATCTGAGGGCCTATCTGGAGAGCAATGTGAAATCAAACGGCTGGTCGTGGGTTGACAGGCACAATCCCGCGATGAAGTTCCCCACGGACTTTGCCCTTGTGACGATCCAGGAATCCCTAAAGGACTCCCTGATTGAGGAATTTCGGAAACTGGAGCTGGTAAAAGATGTTTCCTTGGATTTGAGCTATCAAAGGGGCTTTCTCCAGGAGAATGGTGGGCAGAAGAGGCCCGGCAAGATATTCACTCGCATGTCATTCAGTGAAGGGGAGACGAATGCTAGTGGTGCGAGGGTTGGCTGGAGGAGTCTGATGATGCAGGTGAGCACATTCATCACTTGCTCTCTATGTTCTTTTTCTACTTGTCACTTGTTATCTTCCTGCTTGTTTGAGCTAGAGAGCCTATATTTGTTTATTTACTGGTTTTCTGGATGGTAATAAGTTTGGAGAGAAATCTTGTCAAGCTGCAAACGAGGCTCACAAACACTACTGATCCCCATTTATTTATAACAGGCTTTTCCAGTAATTCGAATTCTTTAATCGATTCAACAAGTGATGGTTTCAATGTAGTGTAGATGGGGAGCAACCTATTTACTGATGGATTAGGATGAACTTTTTATTCTATTTGTATCCAAGTCATGATTTTAGGAGAGTCTTCATTAATCAGTCTTCTTTCTTATGTAGTAATAGTAACAACTTTGCAGGTTGCAACTTCTAGTTGCCAAAACGAATTTAGTATGTAATACTGTCTGTATGTGTGTTGCGGGTTGTCTCCAATTAAGTTGTTGAATTCTCTTTAATCAACTGAGTATGGAAAAGAATTATTTGTCTTTAAGGATAAAATGACAGCTGATATATAACAATATGTGGTTTCCATATCAAACATTTGTGATTCAATACCATTTGGACCGGACCTTGGTTGTTAAATCAAAGCATCAATAGTGCCTTTTTTGTTTCAAAAAAATAGATTTGACTGAGTAGCAGAAGTCGTTCATATATGTAATTGTTTCCATCCACATTTTGTCCGATTTTTCGAATTTCAGACTGCAACTTGTTGTAATTGAGACATACCATTCACTAGAATGATGATAGAGTCAGGTTCTTCCTTTAGGCTACATTCTGATGTAGCATGCACATTTTGTAAAGTACTAAATAATAAATTTGAAGTTGTGCACCCAGTTTGTGCAGGAAAACAGAGGCACACTAAAAGTTCTGAGTCGGTAACATTATTTGAGATAGTTGCTATCTGTTGATTAGGTTATGATAAAGTGTTTTATTAGTTTTGAAATTATGCCTCCATGTAATAAGAAGGCTGAAATTGAGAAAGATAGAATTGCAGCTGAAGAGAAAAGTACGGTGGGAAAGGTGAGAGGGAGACAAAAACATAAAACATATTTAAGAGCTTGCAAGCACCACATACGAGATCTGCACAACATCCTTTTTCTTAAAACTGATGTTCTGCATGAATTTAGAAGAGCGCTAGATGTGTGGCACCTATCAACATATAACCAGGAACTCCCCTTTTTCAGTTTAGTCAGTGAAATGGCCTCTCTTATAATTGCACGTCATTGTTGGCTTGATTCTAATCATTTTCCTGGAACTGAATTGTGTGTTCTATAGTGATTAATGGATGTTGAAAATGAAAGCATTGGGTGAGTACTTCTTCCTTTTTTCTCAAAGGTAGTTAAAAATGCTTATGAAACTTCTCTCCCTTTTGTTAAAAGTTGTGCAACATATATGTGACCTGGTTAGAAGATAGGTTCTCTTTTTCTTCATTATTTGTGTATCGTCCTCGCATAGCGTGGCAGATGGTGTTGATAGAAAGCAGTGTTATTAAATGGCGGCCATGGCGGCGCCATGGTGATATAGTGTGGCAGATTTTTAACAAACCGCCATGCTAAATTTGTGAAGGATGGCATGGCAGCACCATAGGCCGGCGGCAGCCGCCATGTGGCGGGATTTTGTCCTGCCGCCATTAGTAAAATTGATTGAAAGCAGAAACTTTTTTATTGAGATATCTTGAAGTGCTGAGGCTGTGATTGCTTTTCCATTTGTTTTGTATATGCTTTGGTGAGTGAACAGTGTTTTTCTAGAAAATGTAATGAATTGAGAATCTTTTAGGGATATTCATTGTTCATGATTTTTTCTTTTGGAGGTATTACTATCATATTCTATCTTAGCTTATTGAACAAAAAAGGAAATGTTAAACTCATTACCCAAAGTAGGCAGTGTCTATCCACTGTGTATGATAAAATTATATTGTGATTAAAACAAAATCAATAAAGATATTGATTAATTAGAAAAATTCCTGAAATTCTTTGGGTGTGTAGAAGTGGGAGAGAGATATAATATAAGTTGCAAGAAAGATTAAACTGAGTTAAGTTATGAGATGGAAGGGAAATGATGGCCTTCAGAACAAATGATACTTTTTTCGGGCCATGGGGTGTTAAAACAATTTATAATTTTCATAAAAAGGAGTCCAGATATGTCAAAAGATTAAATTTTTTCATTCAGAGATGATCCTTGATTTTTTTTCCCTTGCAAGCAATCGAAGCCTTAGCCCATGTGGCCTGACTGCTTTCGTTATTCTGTACAGTATGTGTAGTAAGTCGGTTGTATCATAACCTATCACACGAGTTCATATTTACTGATCCGCTTGTATAAACATTTGTTTTTGCAATTTCCTTATGGTGTCTCCATCATAGTTCCACTCTGTCGTTACAGAAATCACAAGTTACCTCCTTGTTTGGAGCAGATGCTCTCTGGTCGAAAGGGTATACTGGTGCAAAAGTAAAAATGGCTATTTTTGATACTGGGATCCGCACAAATCATCCACACTTTCGTAATATCAAGGTACCCATTTGCTTATAGGAAAAGCTATCATGAGTTGGTCCCCGTCCTTTTCCTTTTAATTTGTGGTTATTTGTAATTACGGCTGAACAATTATAAATTATCAGGAACGCACTAATTGGACCAATGAATATACATTAAACGACAATCTTGGACATGGAACATTTGTGGCTGGTGTTATTGCTGGTCAAGATGCAGAGTGTCTTGGCTTTGCTCCAGACACTGAAATCTATGCTTTTCGGGTATTCACTGATGCTCAGGTAATGTTTATTAACCACTGGTCCCTTTAGGCCCATACTGGTGTTATAACATCAGTGATAGGTTAATCTAAATTAGCAACTGTTGAGATTAATGACTAGTGTGCTTGAGTCAGCAAATTTCATTGTCAATCATTATCTTTGCAAAATATTACCTATGGAGCAACGATAATTTAGAACATGATCCGTCCAGAAAATGTTGGGTGAAGAAAACAGTTGCTAAAATTGTACTGTGGAAAGTTCAAATAAAGGTGAAATGAAATTGTTGGGTTGGAAATGAAGAAAACTTAATTAGGTTATCTCCTAATACCTGTAAATTGAGAAAATATCTGAAAATAATGTTTGTAATTATCCATGACCCATTTGTTGCAATTATGATAGTGAAGTCATGAATCATCATATTAAATAGCATGGTAGAAATTGGACATCTGATGGGCACCTTTTCAAGAAGTAACTATATCATAAAATGAAATGGAAACAGGTAGTCTAACAGAAGGGTAATTTCAAATACGGTGGGAAACTTACATAATTTGGAAACAAGTTCATAAGTTGATATCTTAACCATAAATTGGATCTCAAACTAATGCCAGGGCAATGGTAATTATAATTGAGCAATCAACCAATTGAAGTTTGGAACCAAGTCCTAGAGACCAACAAGAAAGTTTAACAAATGCGCATGTGTGTACAGTTTTTATATCTAATATTATCTTTAACTCAAAATGAGTGTATGTGTAAGATAACATGCGATAATAACTTGGCTCAGTATGCTGCTATTATAATTCCCACCTAGCTATATTTTTTCACTCCATTAGTTAATTAAAAATGGATGATTGATAAACATAACAATTCATTTCGTTGGACACACGTTGAATACGAGAAACAGGGAATCATGGAGAAAGTCCACTACAATCAATTTTATTATCTATAACAAAAAAAAAAAAAAAAAAAAAAAAAAATATTAGAACCGTCTTTCCATAAATAGCGAAATAACAGAGGAACCAACTTCACAACTTACTGAAAATAGTCTGAGTTACGGCTTTATATATTATGTAGATGTAGATGCTTATTTGAACAAGGTTGTAGATTTTAGCAGATGTATATTGCAATTTAGAAATATATATTTTAATTTCTTAGTAAATGGAAGAATAATTTATCTATCAGTACCTACTATATGGAAACATGCCAAGAGCATCTATATATTACTAAATAGAAGGAATTCTATAACATGCCAAGAGCATCTATATATTACTAAATAGAAGGAATTCTATAAATAAACATATCAAAATTGTCCCGCCCAATATTATTACTTTATTTGGCAATTCTGTATTTCCTATTAAAATTTAAAGCTTTTGGAAAATTATCTAACATTCTATAATTCTTATGGATACCTAAATTGAAATATACATATAATTATATTTAAATTACCATAAAGTCAATTATAAATTAAATTATTATAAATTTAGTATGAATTTTAAAATAATGATAATGTTTAATGGAAAGTTAACGTTTGGAAATAACTTAAAATTTTTTGTGTTCTTATTTCATATATATATATAAACATTAAATTTAAATTTAATAATTGTTAGCCTTTCATCAGATTTTTCAAACAAACTCTATATTGTTAATGAGAAGACACTCCATGAAGCTATATTTGTATTCATATAATATTGAAGAAAAAGGTATACAAATAGACTAAAAATTTAGTGTCAAATATTATAAAATAAATAAAAATTTTTATAAAACACAATAAGATTGGTTATTTTATCAATTTTTACATATAAGTTAATAATAAATATAATATATATATATATTATAATATATATGTTATTATATTATATATTTGACACTCATAGTGGCCATATAAAACTTTATTTTTATATTAATTTTTTTTAACTTAGTTGTATATTTTAGATCAATATTAGTTGAATCAATTTTTTTTTTTTAATTTTAATAGTGCAATTTTTTTATGGTTTGAATATACCATGTCAACATTTTTATTGAATGACAACTCTTATTTATTTAAAAAAATACTTTCAAAAATAAAAAAAATATGAAATTATAAATTCGGCCGAATGTTTTTTTTAATATTTTGAAAAATATTAAAAAATATTTAAATAAAATAAGTAATATAAACTAAAAAGAAAAGTTTTAGCTAACAATGTTACATGTAATGATATGTATAAAACTTATAAAACTGATATTTAAATGTAAAATTTTACAATTTTATTGAGGGTGTTTATTAAGTAATATGTTACTATAACGTATTAGTTTATGTTGATTCAATGTTTGGAATAGAAAATTTAAAAATGACCAAACCAAAAAGATAGAAATATTTTTATAGAGATTACCGATCATATAATGTCGTGTACCATTTATTTTATTTTTTTTATATCAATGAATTAAAAGTTCGTCAATCCTTAATATACGCAAATTGACCTCGCCGTTCAGGTGCATGGGTAAAGGTAAAAGAGTACTGGTAAAGATTTAAGGTGTAACATATTTTTCTTTTTGTTCCTACATCCTAGCCATTTACCAAACAATCGTCCACACATCTTTCCTTTTCGTCCAATTATTTGAATATATTTAGGAAGTTTATGAGAAACTTCTTTTCAGCTCATTGCAGGTTTCATACACTTCATGGTTTCTTGACGCATTCAATTACGCTATTGCAACCAAGATGGACGTGCTGAATTTGAGTATTGGTGGGCCTGATTATCTGGATCTCCCATTTGTTGAGAAGGTGGGGTCATGGCTTTGATTGAAATCGTCACTATCTTCTTAATACATTTGATTTCATTTGCAAGTTCTAACCATTCTGCTCTTGCTTACCACTTCTAATTGCCATGTTTAGTGCGTCAATAATTTTACTTTTCTTGTATACCCCTAGGCCTCCTACTTAATTGCACTCTTTGAAATAAAGCATCACGGAAAATGAGTACAAATGTAATTGTGAATAGGGGTATCCAAGGAAAATTAGATTTTTTACTAAGTTTAGTATAACTAAACTGCGTGACAAAACCATCAGTCTACCTGGAATGGAGGGTGTAGTAATTGTGTTAGCACATGTCCAGTTTTTGTTTTATGTTCAATATAGTAAGTAATATATGCAATTAGGAACTATGTTTAGATATCATAACAAGTTTATAATATTCATAGAAAAACTTAAAGCTTAAGAAAAGTATCTGCAACGGAAGTTAAATCACGACATTATTAGGCCAAACATAATACCGGTATAATAGTAAATATGAAATAAAAAATTAATTCATACTGAAAACATTTCATGTAAATTNATTTATTGTCGTGAAAAACTAACCAGAAGGTAAAAATAGATTTCATTTTTGTTCCACTAGAAAAACTTTCCTAAAAAACTATTCACCAATTCTCACTTTTCTCGTCTGTCTTGTCGCCGCAATTTTCAAAATTTAAATCTAATTATTAATACACATTTTTCAATAAAAGATAGTATTCCCCAACACACATAATTCTTACTACCAATCATTTTCATTATGTATTTTGTTACTTTATATCACTTAACTTTAAACATTGCATGTCCATCTCATATCCATTCACACTCTAAAATAATCATCATCTTTTCTCATCACCATTCCCTAGTGAAAATATTTCGTAATGGAAGTATATACAATGTAACCCTAAAACTTTTTCTGCTCAGTTCTTGAAATTTAATAGGCTGAGGGAATAGAGTCCCTTTGGACAAATGGGTGTGTCAACCATTCATGCCGTAATCATGGTCATTATGGAGAGTGGGATACATCACCCGGACTCCGATTATATCTTTTAATGTGATATTTTGATGAATCATATTACAAATAAAATCTCATAGAATTGTGCCAAAAAAATAATTTATCATATTAGACAATAAGAATATTTGATTGTTTTCTCATTAAATCTCTCTCTAGGTTTGGGAAATTAGTGCAAATAATATTATCATGGTATCAGCAATCGGAAATGATGGACCACTTTATGGAACTTTGAACAACCCTGCAGATCAAAGTGATGTTATTGGTGTCGGCGGAATCGATTATAGTGATCACATAGCATCGTTTTCATCACGAGGCATGAGTACTTGGGAGCTTCCTCACGGGTAGGGTATTTGCTTGAATTCTGATTTTATTTGCACCTGGATTTTTTGTTCTGTTTCTTGTTCCATAATTCCTGATTGATCAAATAAATTGGTGTAGTGTTTTGATTCCTGCCCCCTTTACATAAGATGAATCTTCAGGCTGATAACTATCATAATGCACTTATTAGTACAACACTAATATAGAAATTTGAGCAGAATCTCCTTTAGCTTTCTCTTCAACTGTATGTGCTATCTTTCACTTGCTTTCAAAGCTATAGCTGAAATGTGGAGAGACATGGATTAGTTGAAGATTGTCGGAATCTTGCCTGTCATAATACGTTCAACTGCAGTTGGTTTAAAGAGGACCAACGTAATTAGATAACTTTTCATCATAATGGATGCTCTGTCACATCTTTGGGGAAGGCAATATTTGCTGTAGCAAATATATGCAGCAAAACCCAGATTTAAATAAGAATATATCATGAAATAATTGACTAGATTACTAGGAGGATTGGTTCATTAGCTATGGCTATGCTGCAACTATTTCTTAACCGTAGATTATTTAAAATGTAAACATTCTTTAGCTTTGATATCCCCTACTTAGATTCTTTGTACGAAACATAATATTTCATAATCTTTAGCACGACACTGAAGTCCTAGGAATTTTATGTCAACTTTACAGTGCAAAAGATTGCAACCATGGAATAAGTTCATGGCCTTGGCTGTTCTTAAAAAAAAAAAGATCAAAATTTATTTTTCCTGCTGTCATACTCAATGTCAGGGATCATGAATTCAAGATGTGATATTTCAATTTGCTAATTTTATGTTTGGATGGAAAAGCGTAAAAAGATTTAATAGGAAAAATATAAAATGAGAAGATTTGGAGAGTGTGATTCAACAAAAGATAGAACATAGATGATTGTTGATGTGATTAGTTTTTGGGTAAAAGATCATTGATTGGATGTGATTGGTGATTTTGGAAATAGGTGAGTGAAATTTTACTATTATATGATTGTGTAATGATGATAGTTGATATCATTTAAATAAATTAGAAATATTATTTGAGTGATCGATTGGAAATTGAGAATGAACATATTGTCTTATTTGTTTGTAAATCTTTACAAACCTATTGCAAGTTAAGGAGCAAAGGAATTAGGAAGAAATTTAGCTAGAATTTTTGACAGAACATCCATAAACTTAACCATTGCATGTTAAGTAGCAAAAGAATTAGGAATGGTTAAGTGCCAAATAGACAATCTGCATATTTCCTGAATTGAAAATTTCAAGTCAGCTTATTACTGTGGAGCTTTATATTGCTTTAACTATGTAACTTCATAACAGGTATGGTCGTGTGAAGCCTGATGTTGTTGCTTATGGCCGAGAAATAATGGGTTCCAAGATTAGTACGGGCTGTAAAAGCTTGTCAGGCACCAGTGTCGCAAGTCCTGTGGTTGCTGGAATAGTTTGCCTTCTTGTTAGTGTCATTCCTGAAAATAAGAGAAAAGAAGTTCTCAATCCAGGAAGTATGAAACAAGCACTAGTTGAAGGTGCTTCAAAACTTCTTGGTCCTAACATGTATGAACAGGGGGCTGGCAGGGTTGATCTGTGAGTATTTTTAGTTTGTTTTGATATAACATGACTTAATCACCAAATTGCTGATTCTTGTATTGAATAATAACTTCAGACTGGAGTCTTACGAAATTTTGAAGAGCTATGAACCTCGGGCAAGCATATTTCCCAGTGTCCTTGATTATATGGATTGCCCCTATTCCTGGCCTTTCTGCCGTCAACCTTTGTATGCAGGGGCCATGCCTGTCATCTTTAATGTCACCATTTTGAATGGTATGGGCGTAATTGGTTATGTTGAAAAGCCTCCTGTATGGCTCCCTTTCAGTGAGGAAGGCAATCTCCTAAGCATTCATTTCACCTACTCAGACGTTATTTGGCCATGGACGGGTTATTTGGCACTTCACATGCAAATCAAAGAGGAAGGGGTACATTTTTCTGGTGAAATAGAAGGCAACATAACTGTCAATGTTTATAGCCCCCCAGCTCAGGGCGAAACAAATCCTCGAAAAAGTAGCTGTGTCCTTCGCCTGAAATTAAAAGTCATTCCTACCCCTGAAAGATCACTGAGGGTATTGTGGGACCAATTTCACAGTATCAAGTACCCACCTGGCTACATCCCTCGAGATTCTTTGGATGTTAGGAATGACATCCTAGACTGGCACGGAGACCACTTGCACACAAATTTCCATATCATGTATAACATGTTAAGGGATGCAGGGTATTATGTGGAAACTCTGGGTTCTCCTTTTACTTGTTTCGATGCAAAGCAATACGGGACACTTCTGCTGGTAGATCTCGAAGACGAGTACTTTGCTGAAGAAATTGAAAAATTGAAAGATGATGTCATTAACAATGGGCTAGGTCTTGCAGTCTTTGCCGATTGGTACAATGTGGACTCCATGATGAAAATGAAGTTCTTTGATGACAATACCAGAAGCTGGTGGACCCCAGTCACTGGGGGTGCGAATGTACCTGCTCTTAATGATCTTTTGGAGCCCTTTGGAATTGCTTTTGGTGACAAAGTTCTGAATGGTGATTTTGTTATTAATGGGGAGCAGAGTCGGTACGCGTCTGGAACTGATATTATAAAGTTTCCTGAAGGAGGATATGTGCACAGCTTCCCTTTCTTGGATAGCTCTGAGAGTGGCGCTACTCAAAATGTCCTGTTATCTGGTATGAGTAAGGTGAGTTTTCTCTGTTATCTGTCTTCCGGATCTGTTGATATATAAATGAACAGAGAGATAACTAATATATGAAAGATGAGGAGGCAATAAGACTCCGGCTTCCTTTGACTTTTCTTTGCATATGGACACAAGATATTGATGGTTACATTTTAATGTGTGTATCATTTGAGCCACTCAAGTGATGCTACCTTCTATTTTTTTTTTTTTTTTTTCNTTTTCAAGTGATGCTACCTTGGATTGGTACTCTGCGCTCTTTACATTGGTTCTGCTTGTTAAACATGTGGTCAAGAGGTTATGTTTCGAGTGCTTTTTTTATCCGTTGATTGACTGTTGTGGTTACTTATTGCCATGCCATTATCTGTCTTGATATTTTAGGTCGAATTAATTTCAGATTATGATATTCTAACAATGTTACATTCTTGCAGTGTTATGATATTCTAACAATGTGTCTTCCCTTGAAAAACAGGCAGATTCCCCAATTCTCGGACTTTTGGAGGTTGGAAGTGGTAGAATATCCGTATATGGAGATTCCAATTGCCTGGACAGCAGCCATATGGTCACGAACTGTTATTGGCTTCTGAAAAAGATATTAGATTTTACCTCGAGAAGTATTCGAGACCCTGTGCTTTTTCTGGACTCCAGCAGATTGGATAAAACATTGCACCAAGACAACAACCAGCTACCATCCCGCAGAGCAGACGTAAATTTCTCAACTTACTCTGCTGTTGTCGGTAAGAAATTGATATGTGGGCGTGACTCAAGGTTTGAAGTATGGGGGAAAAACGGCTATGATTTGAATGTCAGGACTAGAAATCGTAGATTGCCTGGCTATGCCGACTTTGATGTGGGCCATGCACTAAATTCTACACTTGGAAAGATTCCTGTTAAGAAATTCATTTCAGTTGGAAACAAAGATGACCATTCTTTAGGGAAAAAAAAGTATCTGGGCTACTTGTATGGAGATGAAGTAAGTGGCAACTACCAAATAGTAGGAGTCATGATTT